ATGAGGTGTATCCATTTTATAGTTCTCTTTTCATAAATTTCATTTCCACTTGTAGAGTGGTGTCATATGCAGACTAATTAATATGACTTATCCTGTGGCTAAGCGGGAATGTTTTTCACTTTTCCTTTATCCTTTCACCTTGTGCAAAATTATTATTCCCCTCAACACCTCATTTATCTCTCCCATCCACCCTAGGGAGTCTCTCGTGCAGAACAACCAGGAGGTGTATAGAGAGGAACAACAATCTGGCAGCCTCATCATAAAATGTGATATGTTAGCTATTTCCCTTTCCAAGGGACCTATCCAGCTGAGACTGTACGAGGCCTCTGGGCCACACATGCAAATGCAGCAAACTCACATCCCAAGAAAACTTTTTGCCAAAAAGGCGGAGGGAAATAGCTCTTTAACAGAGCTTGGGCGGGGGGTGGGGGGACAACCATTGTGTTTTCTGGGAGTTTGTCATGTAGGAGAAATAAGCAGCTATAGCCGTCTGGCAGGAGAGTAATTTTTTACTGGGCCAGATATTGCTTAGGAATGGAGTTCGATTTCATGCATTTTCACTGCTAATTCTGAGAAGACTGTTCATTTCTGATATGCAAAGGCCATTTTGAAAAATTGAGTAGGCTGCCATCAAAAAGAGGAAATAATTTGAGCATATGTTATTAGAAACTGATTATTTTTATTCATAACATGTGAAACAGGTGTTGATAAACACATATATCAGATTTTCTGTGCTATTATGGTACTGTCCCTCATTGGAGTCTACAGCTGACTTGGTCGGTAGGAAGATTTTACTCTTAATTTATGTTCTTTAGGCATGTGTTTGCCTTGTGGCTGATTTTCAGTAGTGGACAGATTTATGTAGGCTTATATCACCTGGGTTTACTCGTAAGCAGTAAAACACATTCCAAAGGATTTTGCTAATATTCATGCTTATGCTTGTTTAAAACTAAGAAAGCTAATTGAACTGGATCCTGGTTAACCTCATCCCTCATCCATATTTTCACCAGAATTGGATCAATCCCCCTAATCAACCTCCAACAAAGAAAATTGCACATGTGTTCTTGGTATTTTAGAGACGGACAAAACTTTTTCAAGAGGAAGAGTTATCAGTAGTGATCGTTGTAAGCTCCAAACAAGGGAGAGAAATTGAGTCTGCTTTGTCCCTGCTATATTCCCAACATCTAGAATATTTCCTGTATTTGTACCCTTTCATGGTTTAAATGCAACCAGTATGCAGAATGGTCCCCAAAAATATGAAGCCAAATGAGTGACTTCATTATTTTAATCAAACAAATTTAATCTGTCAAATACTTAACATACACATAATATCTGCTGGCTGACATGGGGCTAAGGCATAAACAATAAGTAATTCATCACATACGTGACTGAAATTAGCATTATTTTATACAAGCAAATCAGGTTTTTTTATTGTTGTTATTCTCCCCTCATTTGACCTATTGTTGGGGGGGTTATTTTCACCTTTGGCTGTATTTCCTAATATGATGTGAAAATTAAGTCCTTATCCATATCAGCAGCACGTCATACATCCCAACATTCAAACCTTAAAAGAAAGTCCTGATTCTTAACCTCTAAACACAGAGTGATTACTTGACAGGGTCCTAGCCCCAACACACCAAGGACTGCTGTTTCATTTGCCCTAGTGTTCACTAGTATTCACTATTTTATTCATTATTGTAATTCTTTTACTGCCTTACATTACAATACTGTGTAACAAGTCATTAAAGTGCTTTAACTGAAGTTGTGCTCCTTACACACATTCATTTCACAGTGTGGAGCACATGATAGGCATTGTGGTTTGGGTCTATAACAGCAAGAGTGTGTTGAGTACTAGAAAAATACAAAGATGAAGAGAACCCAACCCTTCCTTCAAACTAAACACCAGTAAGAGAGGTAAAAATATATACAGGGATTAAAACCTTCCTGTCTTTGTATGGAAAAAATCCTACCAATGTAGCTAATGGAATAAGTATTGTCTTAGTCCATTTGGGCTGCTATAATAAAAATACAGTAAAATGGATGGCTTATAAACCATAGAAATTTATTTCTCACAGTCCTGGAGGCTGAGAAGTCCAGAAGAAGATTTGGTGTGTGGTGAGAGCTCCTTTCTGTTTCATGGATGACTGTCTTTTCTGTGTCCACACATGGCAGAAGGGGTCTTCTTGGTGATGACACTAAAATCCCAGTCGTGAGGATTCCACCCTTATGACCTAATCACCTCATCAAGGTCCCACTTCCAAATACCACCATGTGGGGTATTAGCTTTCAACCTGTGAATTTTGGGGGCACATAAGTATTCAGTCTGTAGCAGTAATTTTTGCCCAGATTGGATTTTTTATAAAACAGGAAAGCCTAAAATTCAGAGATGGTGAACTTAGATGCTGGAAAGGGAGAAAAACATATGCCACCTGAGGGAAGGGTAACAAGGAGAAAAGGTCATTCAAATTAGCAAGACTTCACAGTTTCCCTCTGGCCTTGCCATGTCTTCATCTGTGAAGAAGTATGTAGATGGTATGTCTTTGGGCTATAGCCCTAAGGTGAGTGGAACTGAGCTACCACATATCCTACAATAGAGCTGATAGGGGCCAGCCCCCTCTTTAAAACTCTTTACTACCTTGAATCTGAGTCACGACGACTGATACGGATGACACAACCACGTGGTTTCCTTGATCAGAGACCTTAGTCCAACAAACATGGCAATAACACCAAAAGACACCACCTGCAAAGAAGTATTTGTGGGTGGGATTATGTGACATATTTAAATGCTCTATATACAATGGTGGAAAATGAGTGGCAAATGCATCGTTGCCTCATATATTTAAATTGCAATGGTGAAACTCGCCTTTGATTAAGATGTTATAGTTTTGATTGCATACCGCGAGGAGAAAATAGTAAATTTGCAACTGTCCTTATATGTCAGTCCAATGAGTCATTTATATTTAAACAGAAAACTAATTTCTACAAGGCAAATATAGCAAGAAAGACTACTTTGGGATTTTCTAGTTGCTTCAGAGATCAGAAGGAAAAATTGTCACTCTTCAGAAATTCTGTAGGTTTACATGTGGGTGAGATATTATGGATGGTCATAGTTGATATATTATATTGTAGGGAACATAACTTGTGATAGACATTTCCCCCTACTGCAACATATGGGCATGACATAATTATATTATTCAGATTTAACTTTTTAAAAACTTGATAAGCAGTGTCCAAGAAGAAAACAAGTTTTGATTCTTACCAGTTCTGAAGTCTTTCTTCCAGTTAAAAGCAATGCCCTTTGTACAGTCTTCTGACTAAAATGTATATTATCCTTTCTTGTTTAATTTTTAAGAGAAACAATGACTGGTCATGTGAAGAAATCTTCTAATCAAGAAAAATGTCTTTTCCCTAAATAAAAGTAAATGTAAAAAGGAATCTTCAATTAAGAACGGATCATTTCTTTTCCCTATACATCATGACCTCCTATTTCTTTCCAGTTGGTTGGATTTCAATGGAAATAACTTTTATGTTAAGTTTGTTTAGCCTTAATTTGCTATGAAACGCAAACTGTGCCATTATTATTGACTAGAAAAGGGCTGTCTGCATGGCCTTAGAAGACCATTATATGCAAATGTGCAAACACAGGTCATTATAATATGAGCTAATTCTTGCTTGCATACAAAAGTATCAATGGTATAGTATAGCCATTAAAGATTTTTAGGAAGGCTATGTTGTAACAGGCTCATAGTTCCAATGAAGAACCTACAGTGCTCTTGAGTTTGATATAATAATGTATTAATAAAAAATGTATTCATATCATATAGCTTTTTTCCACCCAACATTTAAAAAAGAACCATCCCAGAGGCCTTTTTCCTAGAAACTGAGAGGAGTAGGAGAAGAAGGGTTGAGTATCATTTTCTTTAAATCTTTTTATATGGGGGACACCTGGGTGGCTCAGTCATTAAGCGTCTGCCTTTGGCTCAGGCCATGATCCCAGGGTCCTGGGATCAAGCTTCGCATCACATCGGGCTCCCTGCTCAGCGGGACGCCTGCTTCTCCCTCTCCCCCTGCTTGTGTTCCCTCTCTCACTGTGTCTCTCTCTGTTGAATAAATAAAATCTTTAAAAATAAATAATAAAGGTACAGGTCTGTGATGCAACAGTCTTACACAATTCACAGCGCTCACCATAGAACATACCCTTCCCAATGTCTATCACCCAGCCACCCCATGCCTCCCACCCCCCACCACTCCAGGAACCCTCAGTTTGTTTCCTGAGATTAAGAATTCCTCATATCACTGAGATCATATGATACATATCTTTCTCTGATTGACTTATTTTGCTCAGCATAATACCCTCCAGTTCCATCCATGTTGTTGCAAATGGCAAGATTTCATTCCTTTTATGGCTGTGTAATATTCCATTGTGTGTGTGCATGTATATGTGTGTGTATACACACACACATATACATGCATACACACACACATATACATACACACACATATATATACACACATACACACACACACATATATACACATACATATATATATACACATACATATATATATATATATATATACACACACACACACACACACACACCACATCTTCTTTGTCCATTCATCAGTCGATGGACATCTTGGCTCTTTCCATAATTTGGCTATTGTGGACATTGCTGCTATAAACATTGGGGTGCACGTACCCCTTCAGATCACTGCATTTTTGTCTTTGGGGTAAATACCTAGTAGTGCAATTGCTGGGTCGTAGAGTAGCTCTATTTTCAACCTTTTCAGGAACCTCCAGACTGTTTTCCAGAGTGGCTGCACCAGCTTGCATTCCCACCAACAGTGTAGGTGGGTTCCCCTTTCTCCACATCCCCGCCAACATCTGTCATTTCCTGACTTGTTAATCTTAGCCATTCCGACTGGTGTGAAGTAGTATCTCATTGAGGTTTTGATTTGGATTTCCCTGATGCCGAGTGATGTTGAGCACTTTTTCATGTGTCTGTTTCCTCTGAAACAAATAATACATTATATGTTAAAAAAAAAAAAAAGAAGATAGTAGGAAGGGAAAAATGAAGGGGGTAAGATTGGAGGGGGAGACGAACCATGAGAGACTATGGACTCTGAGAAACAAACTGAGGGTTCTAGAGGGGAGGGAGGTGGGGGATGGGTGAGCCTGGTGATAGGTATTAAAGAGGGCATGTATTGAATGAAGCACTGGGTGTTATACGCAAACAATGAATCATGGAACTCTACATCAAAAACTAATGATGTAATGTATGGTGATTAACATAACATAATAAAATAAATTTAAAAAATAAAAAATACTAAAAAAAGCAAAAATAAATAAATTTTTTAAAAATAAATAAATATTTTTATATGGGAAACTTTCTCAAATGATATTTAGATAAGGCTTTTTAACCTTACTACAGTTTATAAAGGCAAGTGAGCTCAAAATATTTGAATCTAAAAGGTAAGACTAGGAGGGTTTGGGGAGGAGAGAGGATTGATTCTCCTAAACCCCAAAATGGGACATCTATGCTGCTCCCAGAAGCTGAGGCATAAACCTCTATGTGTTTAAACATTTGCTGTCAAGAAGCAGTTCATTTTTCTTTTGAACATAAAATGTTCTAAGGCTGTTAGTAATGATACTCACGGCCGCAGGCTGCTGAGGCTTTGAGTGAGGATCACAAGGCAGTAAAAGTAAGGAGGGCAGCAGGTCTATGGATCTACAAAAGCTTCTTGTGGATGGCACTTCCAATTTTTAATGAATGATACCTGAGAAAGTAAAATAATATAATGAAAGCTTTCTTAATGCCAACCTGTCCCATGACTGGACTTTAAGCTTTTGACCATTGTTGAACACTTTCTATGGAGTGTTCATATGTTACTACAGTGTTTGCCATAGAGAGAATTGGTAGATACTTCATACATTCTTTTTCATTAAAGTTAATTGAATAAGCATTATGAGCTTCTTCTAAATACCTCCAAGCATTTGGAATCATGTTGCTTTTAGCCAGGTAAAAGTCTTTTTACAACAACATTTTGGATATCAGAAAGTTCTATATAACTAAGCTATATCTATATCCCAGCATATCTCCCCAATAAAAAATGCCTCAGTGATCTGATTATATTTCTTTCCTTACAACACAATTTTGCAATGACTTTTTCTTTCTCTTTCTTTTTTATTATTATTGTTGGCTTTTTCTATTGCTTTTTCCAATAATAGATATGCTTTACCAAAAAACAAAATAAAACAAAACAAAACAAAAAAACATGTGCTATTTATGACATGTCAGGGGAGGCAAAATGAGCTTACATATCAAATAGAAATATTTGTTCTTTTATTTTGTTCTTAAATGAAAGTGAAATTATCCTTCAAATTCTCTTAACCTTCCTACTCCAAATAAATCAACCATCTAAATAAAATGCACCTATGCACGAAATTATCCACTAAAACAAAAGATCCACAAGCAAAGATATCAGACCAGAAGATAAGGATACAATAAAGATCTGGACCCGATCCTGATTTCTGATGCTTATTCATTTTCTTCAATGGATTCCAAAGACTTTTAGCTTACAATGACTGCCAACACATTGACTGATTCATCCGAATGCTTTCAGGCTAGGAAGAACTTTTAACAGATGGCCCAACTTTGTTTGTTTCTACGGATGACTAACCAGGTATATAACTAGAACAATTTTATGGTTTATCAGAAATCCTTTGGAGCTCTCCAAACAATCTGGGCCTAACCTCAGTTTGTGAAAGAGCAGGTTCCTCTAGATGATATCTAATATGTAATATGACTGAGAAGGATAAATTTGTGACATATGATGGTACATGGTATGTTGGAAGTAATTCAATTTCTTCTTCTTCTAATTTCTTAGACAACTTTCTAAGTACTTGTCTTAGAGAAATAATCACTTACTACTTTTTAGTATTGGAATCCACTTTCAGTCCACATTAACCATATTAACAAAAAGGAGAGGATACAAACAAAATGAATTTATGATCACATTTCACCAATCAACAATAAGAAGAGCAAAATAACTATGTGATTTTTAATAAAGTGATTTTATGCCTTCTCTACACACTTGATATTTAAATACTTTTTTATTTTATGAAATAATGAGACAATTAAAAAGATGACAAGTCCATAATTGTCCTCAAATTTCATGATGATTTTGCTAATCTATGATAAATAAAAATAAGAGCAACTGGAAATTTATGTAAACTTTTACTTTCTTAATTTACTGTTTTTTTTTTTTAAAGATTTTTACTTATTTATTTGAGACAGAGAGAATGAGAGAGAGAGAGCACATGAGAGGGGGGAGGGTCAGAGGGAGAAGCAGGCTCCCCACCGAGCAGGGAGCCCGATGCGGGACTCGATCCCGGGACTCCAGGATCATGACCTGAGCCGAAGGCAGTCGCTCAACCAACTGAGCCACCCAGGCGCCCCAATTTACTGTTTTTTTATTCTAAGAGCAAAACAGCTAGCTATAACAATAAAAATACAATAAAGAATTTAAAAATGTAATTATTTACGCCCAGCATTCTCCAGTTTCATCTCCCTGAGGTAACCGATACTAACCTGTGTATTATTTATATTTCCTCACCTTTTTCTATGCTCACAAAAATGTTTACATACATAGGGGAGGAAAAAAAATTCCCTACCTTTTTAGGTTGTTTTGGCTGCTCTGTTAGTTAAACTGACATAAGACAGATCAACAAAAGAAAAACAAATTTAAGTCAGGCAATTGAAGCTTATATGCCACCCCAAGCTAAGGACAAGAAGGTAGGGGTCTGGGACATCAAAAGGAAGAAGATAAATCACAGGAAGATGGGAAGAGCAAATGTTTGGTAAACAAATGTTTGTCTGTTTGTCGTGCCACACAGAGACAGCTGGGCACAGAGAGGAATTTGAAAAAATAGGCTGAACTCTCCCAGCTTACCACACCTAGTCCATACTCTTTGTAGCTGTTTCTGGTGATAGCTGTCTGCCTCGACAAGGCCCTCTACCTAAATTCTTTTAGGCACTTAATGGGGGAGGTGAAAAGCTCTTCCTGAGTTTTTCTGGCCTTGATTCTCTTCAGCTTAAAATAATCCACATGCTAAAGTGGCACATTCTGGGGTAGCCTTTTCTGAACCCCATCAGTTCCCTTCTCTGAAACTTCCCTAGAAGTTTCATATAGTAAAAGCTGAGCTGTAGATTGCTCCATTATTTCATTGATTAATCTGTTAGTCAGTTCAGTTAAACAGTTGTGCCTCATTTTAGGAGATGGTGATGCACCTGGGCTTGTGAAATTAGGCCTAGATTATGCAAGAAATCAAGTATTTAATAATGTTTCTATGGAAACAAAAGAAAAATGATGGTTAATTATTGGCACAAATTATAAACCAGTTTTTAAGCCCAGGTAGCAACCAGTCAAGATTTCTAGACGTCAGTGTTGAAGCATCTTTTGCAGTTTGAATGTCTCTGATGATATCATCAGTGTTCAGGTAAATTTTCTGAGTGGCCCACATAGTAACAGGCAAAAAGATTGTCTAAACATGAGTTATTGTGGCGATTTCTCTGATGTTTATATCAAACTGCTCACATTCAGTTTGTAGGGCTTCGGGAAAAGGGCAATTTTTTTTCTTAGTTATTCTAAGTCAAAAGTGGTAGAAAATTGGAGGTTTAAAGATTTTGTAGCCAAATATTGGAGGAAACTAGAATTCAGGATCAAGTTGATTTACAGGTAGAAAAGAAAACCTCAAAGATAAATAACAACACTAGCATCTGATATCCATAAAGGATATTTGGAAGTAGGTCAACTCTGCCATAACTTTCGAACCAAAGAGTAGCAGAATATTTGCCAAATTTTCGTCTTACAATCCCAGACCTCATACTCAGAAAAAATAGAAGGATATCTGTCTACAGAGGTACTGAGTATTATATTTAATTATAATTTGTTCTGGATTATTACTTTTTATTTTACAAGATCCATGAAGCCATGTTTTAATTAGCCAGATTTTTTTTTAAAGATTTTATTTATTTATTTGAGAGAGAATGAGATAGAGAGAGAGCATGAGAGGGGGGAGGGTCAGAGGGAGAAGCAGACTCCCCGCTGAGCAGGGAGCCCGATGCGGGGCTCGATCCCAGGACCCTGGGATCATGACCTGAGCCGAAGGCAGTCGCTTAACCAACTGAGCCACCCAGGCGCCCTAATTAGCCAGATTTTAAAACCCAGGGACTCAAATACTGATAATCTTTCCAAAAAAGTTGAGTTTTGTGTGGATGGCACTCCAATTAATAAACCTAATTACTTTGTCACTCAGGTTAGAATGCAAACAAATGATATTTAAGAGGATGCTAGGTAAAGGGAAATAATCTTTGTGTATCATCATTATAAAACAAACTATTGAGGAATTGTAGATTTTATGAGTTGGCTGGTCGATGAGTTGATAATTATTTGTGTCTTTTTGTAATTCTACGTTTAAAAACCACACCGGGTATTTCAGTTGAACGTGACACATCTACCTCTCTCAATCCCCAAGCTCAATGTGTTTTCCATGCACACCTTTACTTGATATATGAGCGCACTTTTCATTATCTTAAATTGAGTTAATTCCTCATTTACTAGTTTTATTTTACTGAGTTGCATGCCTGTATAGCACAAAAAGAGATTCAAGTTCTCTATTTTCTTCCAGATATTGTCAACAGCTTTAATTCCCTCAGGGTATGGAGGAGAGGTGTTGTGTATGCCTGTGGACTTGCTAGCAATAAAGCCAACACAAAATTAGTTAAGGAGGAAGAAGGGGAATTGGGAGGCTTTCTGTGCTGCTTTTACTAATCTAAAAGAAATCACTGGAATCATTTACTTTCCATTCTCTTTACGATAATTGACTCACACAACCCATCTCTTTTTCTTCAAATAGTTCTGCAATGATCAAACTAGATTGGATCTTTCTATGGTTGTGTCTTTTATTTTATAAGCACAATTATTCAAATAACAAATGGGAAAATCATCCATAAGCATGCACACCCAATCAAGGATAAATCCACAATTGCTCCATTAGTAATTACAGACAGTATTTCAAATATGGCCCATATTTTTGCAAATAACTGAACATACTAAATATTAAGTTCTTGATTGGACAAAATTTCAAATCAACCAGAATATAATATTGGAGGGGAGGACAGAATTATTAAGAAAACTATTATTGGGTACAAGTCTCTCAGAAATTTGAAAGGATTTTATTTTAAAAGCTCCAGCAGGTTTGATAATTATCCACATGTGAGTGCATAATGCCACCCAGCATTATATTGTGAAATATTTTTAATTGGACCAATTTGGCAAATTGTCAGCCATAATTCTAAATATGCCAGTTTTGGATAAAGGGGAGGGGCAGTTGAGATTTAAGGAACATTGTGATCCATGACCTTGAAAATCAGGAATGAAGAGAAAGACCACAATCAGTAAGGAAAAAAAGTGAATTCCTACCACATAGGATTAAGAAATGTAGTTGGCCAGTTTTGAATACCTACTATGTGCCCTGTATCCAATTAGTTTCTAAAAATACTAAGGTAAAAGATGCAGTTATTTGACTTATATAACATACAGTCTAGTACATACTAGAATAGTGCAATTCTGATAAAACAGGGCCACAAAATGTGAATGATATCTTAGGTTACTCTTAGAAATTTCAGATTAGAGTTTTGCATCCCTGTTTATTCAAGGATAAAATAACATATGCACAAGCAAGAATGTCCCCACTGTCTTGTTCATTGTCCAAT